AATCGGGCAGCAGAAGACCTGGTGTTAGTGAAACAATTTGTGACGAGAGGGTACAGCCTATCCACAATTTATCAAAACGCTTGGAGCGTTTGGCTGAGCACTTTGAAAGGTAATTTAATCGGCCGGAATTGTTAGATTTGCCGCCGGCCACTGATCCCCTCGCTCCGTGGGCTGTACCTTTGGATCCACCCTCTCGCTCAGAAGTGGAACGTGAGATCGGACTGTTGAAGTTCACTAAAGCCGCTGGACCTGATTATCTTCCTCCAGCCCTCTTCAAATTCGGGGGACCTGCCCTTGTGGATAATTTACACAAATTGTTAGTTAAACTGTGGGAGCAGGAAACTGTCCCAACCGACTGGAGCCACTTCGTCATATACTCAATTTTCAAGGGAGGCTCACGATCGGAATGCGGCAGCCATGGAGAAATCAGTCTGATCTCCATCGCTTCCAAACTGCTTGCCTCTGTCATCCTTCACAGACTGAATGGCACTCGTGAAAGCCAGATTCGTGAAGAGCAAGCCGGATTTCATCGGGATCGTGGCTGCATTTACCACACCTTCACCTTGCGTCAGTTGTTGGAGCACCGTCATATATATTGGCGGCCTACCGTTGTCGTATTCCTCGATAGCAAAGGTGCATGCGATTTGGAGGATAGACTTGCACTTTGGGACTGTCTAGTCAGGAAAGGTGTGCCTGAGCAATATGTACATATTATCCGAGCATTATATGCGCGTAGCTCAGGCAGAGGGAGGGCTTATGGCAAGTTGTCGTCGCCCTTTAATATCGCTAGCGGTGTGAGACAAGGATGCCCGCTGTCACCTTTCCTCTTTAACTTCGCTGTTGACGAAGTCATGGAAATCGCCTTCACAGGACACGACTTGGAAGGTGTGGATCTGCTCCCAGGAGAACGACTTCTTGACTTAGAGTATGCTGATGATATTGCCCTCATCTGTGACAGCTCACAAACGTGCCAAGCGGCACTGGACAGATTAGCACTGGCTATCCGTCAATTCTGGCTTTGCTTCGCACCATCGAAGTGTAAAGCGTTCCTCTAAGATTGGTCTGGACCGCCTCCTTCGCTGACCCTTGGTGGGGATCAGCTAGAAGTCGCTCAAAAATTCAACTACCTGGGAAGTTGTATCACCGCCCTTGGGATTGAAGACGAGATCACGAACCGTATAGCAAATGCTCGGGGCGCTTTTGTTAACCTTCGCCACCTATGGCGGCGGCGGGACATCACTCTTGCCCTGAAGGGTAGAGTGTACAATGCAGCGGTACGTTCGACCCTACTGTACGGTTGTGAAACCTGGCCGCTTAAAGCAACGGACTTGAAGAGGTTAGTTAGCTTCGACCACCGGTACCTTCGCAATTTAGCTCACATTTGGTGGGAACAACGCGTGAGCAACAAGTGTGTCCGACCCCTTGTTTACGGCACAGGAAAATGAAATGAATCGCTCAGCACCGTTATTTCACGCACCAGGCTCCGATGGTTCAGCCATGTGTTACGCATGCCAACCCACCGACTTCCGCGACGTGTGTTGTTTGCGTGCCGGGAGTGTGGATGGAAGAAGAGGAGGGATGGCCAAGCGATGACTTGGTCGGGAGGAATGAAGGCCCTCACTTCTGAGCTGGCCTCGGTTGGAGCGTCTCGGCTCCCTGGTTGGGGTCCGAAAGACAATGAAGACGTTTGGTTGGACACACTTGCTGACATGGCAAGGAGCCGACCTCAGTGGCGTTCGTGCTGTGAGTTTCTTTATCCCACCCCATCCCTCTTAGCCTCCCCCTCCAACCACGATCTCATTATTTAGCCTTATATAATTTGCATAGCAATTTTTTTTAATACACAGTAGCCTGCTGGTAGCTTACCGGAACGATGCCCATCCGTTGGCAGTAGCTCAGCCGGCTTTCACCAGTTGCTCATTTTTCTCTTTTTTTCCATGTATTGCGGCACAGTAGCTGAGATGTTCCCCACCTCTATATAACGTGTATGATGATGATGATGATGACGAGCCGCACGACTGCTTCCACCCATTAACGGTATAGTGAACACCAACGAGCGGGAACATGATTCAGTGTTTTAAATATTTCGGAATACTTGTTCCTTGGGTAGACTACTCAGTTGTTCATTTGTTCGCCGTGCTTGATAATTTTTTCCTTAACGTTTCACCACCATGCGAGTGGGCATCGCCAGTGCGGTGATATGCAGTGTGTAATCTTTGGTTGAATCATCGATCCGTGATGCAGGTGCAGGAGAATTTCGAAAGTGACTACCTCGATTTTCGCCCCATGCTCTTTGCTCATTTTCCCGCCGCTGAAGTGGTCGCTCGAGTTGTCATAGTGCAAGAGACATCCTGAAATTCACCAGTTGTTTCTGTCTGTTTGCTTGATATACTGAATCGATGTATACATGCTGGTCAACTGAATTCTTCGTGGAGAACCAAGCTATGAAGAAGTCCCTTTCTCTTATCGTTTCGCAATCTGCCAAGACTTCTATTTTGACCCAAACAAACTGTCTCTTTCTTCGTCCACGTGCACTGAAACTAGGGATGATGCATAATGTTTTTGCAACTTCTTGTGCTCTTGTACGCTTGTTTCCAATTTTCTTCCCGCCCGGCCAATAGTTATTTACGCAATTTCTACAGGTTAGTCCACGCGCTTCCGGTTTTATTTTTGTTTTTACAGATTCCTCAAAGTGGCAGTTGGTTTGTGTCCTACGGTGAAATGATGCGGTGTAAATAGTTAGGCCAGATATGTTCTTCTTACTGTTGTAATTGGTTATCACCAGCTCCGGCGTGTCGGCGCTGCATGTGACTTGTGTGTGTTATCAGGCGAACCAGTGACTTGGTTGTGTGTACACATTACAGCCGCGTCCCTTACAACCGTGTTCCTACTTACCATACTATAAGTCAAACCGCCTCTCTGGCTTTGGTGTACACTGTCTGTTTGCCTTGTTGTCGTTCAAACACCTGATGAAGCTTTGCGAGTACACGCAGAGTTGGAGACAAGTAAATTGGTGCTGCTCTTCTTTTCGCTTTTCTTCCGCGGTACAGTAGTGTGTTCACTTTCTGTGAAATTGCGTCCGCATACAGCTTACGTGTGCAACCCAATTGTGAAGCTCGGAGAACAAACGAACTAGTGAATAATTCAGTGATCCTTTCGCAGAAAAACAACACGGTTCATCTAGTATGACACGAAATTTTAAAAAAATAAACAGAGCACAGAAATCGCGTGACCAGACAAATGGAAGAAGCACCGAATAGATAAAGAATCAATCAGATGTACACGAAGAAATGAAGTCGATAGCGTTGGGTTCAGAGTGGGATTGTGATTCTCACGCAGTAACAACAACCGTAGACAGCCAATAGACCAAATGAAGCAACATGTTAGAACAAATGGCAGTGACTAAACACAACAAGACGATGATCTGCAGTAGTTAACGTTTAATTAAGCACACGCGAATTTTTATCTTAAACAATTTAGAAGCTCGACTTTCTACCTAGGCTCGATCGGCGAGATGAGATGAAGACAACCCACCTGCAGTGTCGAAATTCCCATGTTACATTTTGATGTAATTAAACATTTTGGTTTGTTTACCAGTATTTTGTTAAGGTTGTGGATAGCCGATGTGCCTTTGCAACACGACAATACCTTGTGTTGAGTAATTCGGCATGGCAATCATGTGAGCTGACTAGCCCGAAAGTTTATGGTCGACAAGCGAACCAAGTTCGCACTTCTATGCTCAGTTTCTGCCTTATTTCAGTGCAGCGTACTAGGATTTACATGCAAATCGGTTGAAGGAGGTCCGCTAGCTACATCGAAGTCAGCGATCCGGTAGCCGGAAAGAAACGCACACACTTTTGTCTATCATACTAAAAAGTACTCGTAAACTGGTCAACTTCTGGCTATTCCCAAGGCGTAGTGACCACCAACATTGCAGTGCATACGTAAAATCGATTCGAGCCTGTCACGAGTACTCAGCAAGGTAGATGCAGAGCATTCGGATAGTTCATACTCGATGTGGTATGTCTGTCTGCTCTAAGGCGGCGAATCTTTCTAGCAATTTGCGATAATGGTTACTAAAATACCCACACTGAATCGATGTTAATGCGGGAAATATTTGTTTCAGCTGTCTCGGAAACTGCTGAAAACGACGTGACATTCCAAACTGGCATTCTTTAATCCATCACAAACGCTGCGGGCGCAACTTGATGGAGACCATTGTATGCGGCTGTCGATCTTCTACTGGTGGTAGTTGATGCGCTAACGGTTACATACACATGGAACCGATACACTTCGAACAGGTGTTGCGATGTAGTTTGGGGAAGACGTGAATCACTCACCGGTTTTAGAATAAGTGATCGCAGTTTGCCTTGAAGATCTAATAACCTATGAAACGAACCGTAGACACTTGGAGATAGCAAACAGGCTTGTCATAACATCGACTTGTGGTATCTCGGTAGTCGGGACACGGTTTACCCTTAAACATACACAAACAGACTTATTTGGAAACGGATATCAAAATCAATCCGAATATGGAATCAGATAGATATTTGCAGCCAAAACCCACCTGAGTCAATTTTAACACTTAGATATAATCCAGACTCAGCATTTGCCCATGAAGGACCTCGTTAGTATTGATACTACTGGGATATGGCAAAGTTAGTCTGCTAACGGGACGACGTGCCACCGGTATACGTATTGTTTTCGAGTAGATTGTACATTCACACTAGTGAAATTACGAGAGGTGCTTGATACCCGAAGGATTCGATCAAGTGTCAGGTACTCACAAGAAGAGAATAAGAAGAAGAATAAGAGGTACATGCAATTACTTCACAGTCTTGCATGATTGACATGAAGCAGATTAAAGGGTGGTATGCATTCGGGGGAACAACTTTTACTAACTCCAATTCATAACTAATCCTTGCTACTTGGTTTGCAATTACCCTTAAGGAAGAGGCCAAAGGTCAACTTCTGGTCAACACAGATGAAAAGCGACTCACCATGTCCCACTGCAATTGGTGTACTGAGGATTCAGCGTTTGGTAGCTGGTCATCTGTTGGTTCTGTGTGTTTGCAGTAACTATGGGGAAAAAGTCGTGAATAATTTAAGTTGTAGTGAGAAAAGTGTGGCGGAACCCGAATGGGATAAATTAGTGAATGTTGGCAAAACTGTGCTCAAGGAACGATTTCATGCTGGCTGCATATAATGCCGCCTACCCGGATTGCCATTCAACTCTGCGATAGAGTGTATGCAATGCAAAGGCTCTTCAAATACAAAGGCACGAAGTATATCTTCGACGGCATCCGGTTCCAGATTTGCCTATTACTGCGACCTCCACAGGACAGTTACAGGAGGCCTGAGTCTACAGAGAGACCATGGGGCCTAGCGCTGCACCACCCACAGCTCCATTCACACCCCCAATATCCATGGTAAACCAGAAAGAATAAGACCGGAAGCTATGTGGATGGAAGCAACGCGTCATCAACGGAGCCGACCCATACTCCTTCAGAAGTATTCCGGCATGTCCAATTGGAGAATTATGTACCCCATACGTATACAAGACAGTGGTTGGGTCATAGTCCGCTCCACTGGATGCATGGATTCAGCATTTCAGCCCACTAAGGTCACCAGAACCGTGCATCCCGTACCCTCCAGCAGCGTTTCACAGTCTCCTGGAGCCAGTGTATAAGTAGGTAGACAGCTAGACACATTGACACGCGCAGCCACACCGGGAATACAAAGCAATAACCACCCCCTGAATTGTAAGAAACTCAACACGCAGGCACACTTACAGACCAACTGCAATGATAATACTGCACGCAAACCACATCAACCTCATTATTAGCCTAGTTTAGTAAATTGAATTGAAACGGACGCAGTGAGCTTACGGTCGCTGCACTGATGCTGATTAGATAACCAGCTGACTCGTTGACTTTTGGGTGATGGCCCCCTTGGGTACCTTGGTAGCTTAGGCACTCGCAACCGCAGGTGCTACAGCACCACGCGCTCGACCTGGAGCGGCTATGCACCAGCCACACCTGTCGCTTCCTCAAGCGACGTTTCTATTCCGAATGCGGCAGGGATTTCTCAAGCACCTGAGCAACCGCCCTCTCGCCATCCGTGCCGATCCGTTACCATCGCTTCTCAACGCTTGAAATCAACATTAATTCATGATAGACTCCCTGTAACGTGATTAACTACGCAAGAAATTTTCCTACCTTTCCTACGCTTGACCCGAGGTCATAGCTGTGTGGATGCGCGCGAGTGGGTATTCAACCCTAATAACCTTCTCTGCTTGTCGTCCTGTGATGGTAGTAGAAGATCAGTGTGAACAGATGGATCAACCGAGCGAGCCAAACAGCCAATGGGAGACGGGCGTGACGGATTCGATTACTGGACTCGGAATGGGCGATATTTGTGTGAATGATTCACCATTTGTTTAAGTGAAGCAACGGAGGAATCTCGTCGACTCAGAAGGGTCGTCAGTTATAGCCTTGAAGGTGCCATTTATATCGAGGGGTTTGGCTTGCAAATCTTGCTGTACTTTTCGCCGACTTGACTTTGCTGAATAAACCTTTGTCCCTGAAGGACTGAGTTCTGCATCACGGCCGACTGATATCGACCGGTGTTCATTGTGTGAACCTTCCCCTACCCATTACCTCACCGAATGCTTGAAGCCAAATCATGCGGGTGGTGGATGTGCATATTTGTGTGTACAAGTATCCCCACTTCTCCCTGCCCACTGCTGTGTGCGACCGCACCATGACCTCGATCGTCCCACTCCACTGTTCACCAGACGGCTGCATTTGATACTGCACCCCATTCGCTGAACGCGACAGTTCAGCGCACCACGGTGTGCCTCATTCCACTGAGCGTTTGTCCACACACAGTACAGTTGTGTAATTTTGCCAACTGCTCAAATGCACTTTTGATGGTTAACAAACCGACCAGGATACGCTGTCGTTGAGCGGTTCTCTAACTCATTTGTTGCCAACCCATAACGCGGCACAGTATCTGAGGTGTTCCCCACCTCTAGCTAACGTGTATAATGATGATGATGATGAACCAGTAACGCTTACAATCGAGACTTATCATGTTATTAACGTTATGTAAATAGCACTGTACACTTTGGAGCCATTTCGTATTTTGAACTTATTCGGGACAGCGTTTTAGTCGTTACATTCCCCTTGATAATGTCTTAGTAACGTAACCGGTTTTCTTACTTACCGCTGTCACTAGCTGTGGTCCAGCCAAGACAAACCGATTCGACATCGAAATAAGCCCTGGATTCCTCACTAATGGCCTGATTTAGTCAGTAAGCGTTATGAAAAGTGTTCCAGGTTGCGGTTCCATCGCACAGTGGTAGATGTTGTGGCTAACACCCTAAAGGCTTTGCGTTTCAGCGCAGTCCTGCTATTTCTATCCGAAAAGCGTGAAGTAGTACGAAACGCGTCATGGAGTGCATCGTCACGTGTGGGTGAGCAAACGTGCATGACCCAGCATGTAGCTGACTCTCGGAATCTTGACAAAGAGGGACTATGGGGGCTAAATGTATGAACTGTGTGTGAAAACTACATGGTGCGCAAAATGCACGCCAGGCAAACGATAACAGTGCAGTCAGAGAAGTGTGCACGGTACGTAAATGGCTTTACTGGTGAACACACGGCAGTAGTCATTAGGATTTCTGAAGCACAGTACGGCGAATGTCACGGGTCGCCGGCGCGTATTTGTTCAGTCACGGTCACGGTACATGCAGTGATAAGTAGCTATATAACGATGATTCATCGCCAACTGGTCACCTGAATTCACTGATGACAGAGGAGAAGTCTAAAACCGTTCGTTAGTAATTTGAAAAGCACAATGAGAAGACGAAGTTTGGCAGATGCATGCATTTCCTATCGTCTCATCAGTGCCGATAAAGATGACCGGTAATTTTATGCAAGTTTGTGGGTGCAAACCTGCATACAAACAAAGTGGAGAAAGAGCGGTTCTTTCTCCTACAACCAGGGTAGTCTGAGGCTGGCCGATAATTGTTTTTTCACACAAAGCACTGGCTTACTCCGATTTATGGCAGTGGCCTCGGCAAGCGGAGGAGTCGGGAATCGGTATGACGAAGCAGGATCCTAACGCCTTGTTGACCTCAACTCGGTGACCCGAGGTCAATAAGTGTCTGACGATCTAAGATGTCGGCGGCCTGCGCACACACGTAGTCTGACGTGGGCTTGCTTGCTAAATACTTTCGCATTGAACCCATTTTGGTACATGCTCCTTCATTCAGGGACTCATAGTTCTATTGGTTTTGCCTATGTAACTAGCTACGAAATTATATACAACTTTGTATACGCATTGGGAGTTGGTCCCAATAGTCTGCGTTTCCTTCAGTGGAGACAGCGGCGACTTATGAGTTCTGTCAGTGATTACATATTCGGCAGCACAGAAAATGCTCTGTGTGGTGGAAATCAGACGTCTTGTAGTCCTCAAAAAGCAATGTCACCCTTAAGGGGCAGGTTTAAGAATACCTTTACCTAAGTTACCGTAGGTAAAGCAGCTTTCATTTCACGGACTTGGCTGTGCTTCTGGAAAAATTTTCCAAAGGTAGCCATTATCAATTAGCGTGTTGATAGTTCTAATTCATCGGCCAGACAAGCGGACTACACAAAATACGCGAAAGCCCATACAGTGACGGGGGACAACTAGAATGTCGCCAATCTACTTCATCAGTTACGTTCCAAGTGATCGAATTGGTCAAGGTTTAATAAAGTGGGAATCGTGGTCCACCTTGAGATACTGCGTCGCAAACCATTCTCAGAACGAGTGCTTCACAACAACCCTACATTGCTAAGTAACATTTGTTAAACTCTTGCTAGACTACGCGATTGGGAAGTCTGACTTTCCGGTAGTCATAAAGCTACACAGGTCCATGTGTAAAGTCAGAAGCACATAAACTACGAAAGAACAGATGGGGTGATAGGGAGATACTCAGTCAATGCCTTTGATCGAGACGATCGATGTTCACGATCAAGCGAAGCGTTTGCGATGGAACACAATTCGGTTACATTAGCATGACTACAACGTATTATGAACATCGTCTAGTCGCCTTACTTCCCATTTCTTGCAACCGAATTGAAACTTTTCTGCTTAAAATACAATGTGCCCAAAATGGTCTACAAAAAGTCCATGTTAATTTGTAAAAGATCCCCTTTGTTTGGCAAAACATCCAAAGGGTTTCGCAACATGTCCAGTGTGGTTTGCAAAACGTCCAATTTAAGATAAATGTGGTCTATATGCTCACATCAATGTTCCAACGCTGTGCGGTCACAGGCAGTACAAAAGTAGGCGGGTGGTGCACTATTAATGAGTACTATGGGTGAAAGGAGCAGGCGCGATTAACTCAGCGAATATTGGATCACCACGGACGACAGAGGCATTGTGCACAATTCAGCCAGCCATGGAAACGGATGACGATGGTGTTTTGGACCAGTACCACACCGTCACAATGAGCTGAGTCGACCGTACGCAGCGGAACGTAGAATCAAATGGTGCGTAAATGTGTCCGACTGTTCTGTGCTCGAAATCATTTACCATGCATACGTTTGTTATCCACTACATAACTCATTCACACCGCATTGCCTTCTCAACGTTTGGTGGCGTGACCAGCCGGAGCCATTTGAAGATATGGATGTACGGAGATTCCTGGAGGAGTTCGTAGGTGTCGCGGAAGAAGTCGGGCTGAAGCAGAAACGGGCCGAACTGGTTGCGCTTCCTATTCTACTGAAGGGATGGGCGAAGGCGAGCCTGGACGCGGCAAGAAGAGCCCTAGTCAAATTGGAATTGGCCGCCGCGAAAGAGGCGCTGATCGTGACGTTTGACAGTCCGACCGACCGCCAGGATTTGATGCGACGCTTCCAGGCTTGGACTAGAAGCGGATCCGGTCGTGTTTGCGGTCTATCTCAGGGGCTTGTTGGATCGGACGCTGCCAGCTTTGGACGACGCGTCAGGGCAACAACTGTTAATGGAGCACTTTCTGGACAGTCTACCTCCAACAACGGCGGATCGACTGCGGATTGTGAACGCCACCCAACGAAGGTGCATGGCGGAAGTTGCTCGAGTGGCAAGTGAGTTGGTACGGGAGCCAGTGGCAGCATTGTGAACCGAAGGCCAAATAGACGGGGAGTGATTGGACAACTTAGAAGTGAAGTTGGAGCTGGTTACGCAAGACATTGGAGCTCTTTGAATTACCCGTCAGAGGACGCGGCAAAGTGGGCGACGCTCTTTTGTGGGAAACTGGGACACTGGAAGCGGCAATGCCCATCAAGACCCGCTACATTCTTTGTAGCAAATAGAAGTTACAAACAATATTGTTCTCGTGATGGAGCGTGCATACGTGGGGTCCTGAACAAAGGTGCGGTTGAAGCGATAGTGGATGTGAATGGAGAAACAAAGAAGGGTTTTATCGATACAGGAGCCGCAGTCTCCTTGATCGACCACCGAGATGAGGTAAAAACCAAACCGTGTTCCATGGCGGTGAAGGCGGTCGGTGCTTACAATATACGCTTAACTGGTATGATGGAGCACGTGGTTGGTATCACGAGTCAAAAATTCAACCATCTCTTCGTTATGTCCCTGGACGCAAAACAGACCGTTTTGGGGGGAGACTTTCTTCAAGCCAATGAGGCCATCGTCAACATGAAACGAGGAAAGCGGATGACGAAATACTGGTCTATACCCCTCGCTTGTAGAGAAGGATGCACACGAGCGTGCTCATTCTTTTCAGTTTTACACACTAGTCGCTTGTCAGCAAATACAGACTTATCTGCACAGACGATAATAGCCCCTACGAGTTTTGTGGTTGGCTCGAACACACAATTGGGCTTTCGCGGTAGCCGTATCGACCGCATGGTCCCAGAAGAATGCAATTCACCTGGAGACCGAGGTCAAACGCAGGTTCAGATGTTGAATGTGGGTGCAATCGAGGAGGCCCACAGCCCGTATAACTCCGCAGTCGTTTTGGTGAAGAAGGCCAACGGAAAATACCGCTTTTACCTGGACTTCAAAAGGCTGAACGTAACCTCGGTGCGTCGTTTTATCTTGGCGACATCCGTCACAGACATTTAGATAAACTGCCGAATTCAACGCAATTCACGGGCCCTGATTTAAGCTCTGGCTACTGTCAGTTAGCGATCAAACAAGAGGACCGCGAGAAGACCGCGTGTACAGTTGGCGAGAAGCAGTACCAATTTAAAAGGATGCGGTTTGGATTATCTGGTGCCCCGTTCACTTTCCGGCATTTGATGTTCCGCTTGCTGGATGGGTTAGAGAATGTGGCCGTGTATGGAGATAACAGAGTGATATACGGTGTATCGGAGATAGAACAATGCTACCAGGTAGAAGCAGTTTTGCAGAGGAACTGGAAGTCGGGAGTACGGATACATCGTCCTTAATCGAAAATCTGGAAAAGGTCCGTGACACCGCTTGATCACAAGGTGGATCAGTATGGACAGAAGACGCTGCTGGAGAAAATATTGCAATTCAATACACCCCAGTTCCGCCCTCGAAACGAAGTCTTCGGGTAATTTTGGGCCGCCCCGAATACTACCGTAAATTTGTCAGGAATCGTGGCTGTTTGACGTAACCTTGTACGACCCTTTAAGAGGGGAACAAAAATTCACTTGGAAGCCAGAAGCTCAGCGAGCGTTACACGGTATTCAGAAGGAAATGGGAAAGCAGGATTTTGGGTCGAAATTGTCGGTCGCCGGAGTAACCTTGACCGTGGCCACAGACGCAAGTGACCTCGAAATCAGTGCGTTGCTGAAGCAAAAGCAGGGGACGATTGAATACGCTAGCCGAATTTTAACGCCATCGGAACACAAGTATTCGAGAGTAGAGAAGGAGCGACTGGCATTTGGTTGGGAGCTGGATAAATGGCGGGTGTACTTACTGAATCAACGCTTTCAAGTCTAGACGGATCACCAACCATTGGAATGGATTAGGTCCTCCAAAAGCCCAGAGGCAAGTTGGCTAGTGGGTGATGCGCTTAAAAGAATACGACTTCACGATAAGCCACATTTCAGGGATACACAACAGGGCAGCAGATTTTATCGCGCCTGACTAGTGACGACGAGTTGCCGAACGTTGCGTTCGGTGTTATCGGTTTGGGGCTGGAGCAGGATCCGGGGAGGACAACAGCTGAGCACCGAAATGATAAGCCGCTGAATAGGCTGCTAGCAGCATGAATGATGAATTGAACTGTGATAACCATGAGTCAAGAACAACGATTCGGTCCGTTCCCTCGGAAATTTGAAAATCTACAACGCAACGAAGCCAAAATTCTGATGTAGACACAAGGGCCAGGCGCTACCCCGGTGCCGGTGATCTCACCAAAGTTTCGGAAAAATTTGGTGGTATCCTGTCACGAGATGACCCATACCGGATGCACCAGAACATATGATTTGCTTAGGCAGCGAGTTTACTGGCCGTGCATGAAAAATGACCTCGATGAATGCGTGCTGTCATGTTAGCAACGCCAGCTCTTAAAGGGAGACAATCGGGAAGTACCACAACCTATGCTCGCGATCCCAGCGTCTGAGATTTGTGCTTTCTGATCAGTTGGCGTGACCAGGCCGTTCCCGTTAGCAAGATGGGCAATCAGTACATAATCCTGATGATCGAGTACATCACCCGCTGGATTGAAGCCGCGGCAATTTCGAATCAACGGGCTGGCACAATAACACATGCGGGATGATGCATAGAATAGCGGCCACGGAATACCGAAGGCAATACTGACGGACCACGTGCCATGTTTTAAAAGTGATGAGTTCCGGACATGTCTGGCGAAACTGGGCGTCAAGAATATACGAAGCACTCCCTACCATCCTCAGACAAATGGACTGACGGAGAGGAACAATAGAACGCTTAAAGTATGACTGGCAGCAAAAGAGGGCGGTTGGGAAAAAGCTTCACCACCACTCATGCTAGCTCACCGAGCGTCCAAGCAAACAGGCACGAAGCAATGCAAATTTCAGTTAATGTACGGCCACGGACCTCGAATTCCTGTGAAGCGAGAGATGGGAATGTGGCCAACCTGCCAGTTACCGCCAAGGGAAGCACGGAACAACAGGAAAGTAGCGAACCGAAGCCAGAAGGTAGTCCAGGCGCGGATGATGGAGAAATCCCGGGTCAACATGGAAAACGTTCCGGGGACTTTCTAATCGCTTCGAAAGTAAGATACAGAGATCACCAACACGCGGCCGCATATGACTCAGGCGAAAGGAAACTCTTCACGAAGTGGAAGGGACGATATGACGCAATCAATCGACATGGCCCCGTATACACTATCATTCGACAGGGTGACAGGCAGCGAGTTCATGCTAGCACATTGAGGAAGTGGTACGAGTGAGGAGAGAAAGCTCTCCTCCGGATGGTCGGAGAGACTGCGTGCGTCGTCCACAGTCTCGGAGACTTTAGAGGGGGAGGGGGGAAACTACTAAGGAGTAGGATGGGTGAAACGAGCAGGCGCAATGAATTCGGCGAATATTGGATCACTGCGGACGACGGGTGCGTAGTAGATAATTCAAACAGCCATGGAAATCGGATAACGCTGGAGTCTTGGGTTTATACCACACCGACACGACAACCTGAGTCGATAGCACGCAGCGGAACGTAGAATCAAATGGCACCACTAATTAAGTGAACAAATGAATCCGACTGTTCGAATTGTTGTACCATGCATACGTCTGCTCCCCAGTACATTAATCGTTTGCACCATATCACCTTCTCAACAGGTGGTGATATATGAAAACCATGAGCTGGTTCATGCTCTTGTTTTTACAGAGTAATTTTATAGACAATGTGACCTGCCGTATCAAATGTACTACTTGCATCCCAGCGTGTCGTGTTCCATAGGATTTATAAAACGAATTCGGATACAGTCTTCGGGGCGTGTTAACTAACTATCCTGGTGACCCCTGTTCTGAAGGGACACATCGTGGATTTTTAGCTCAGGGCACATGAGTACCGATTGTTGCGCCATGGTGTACTTCGTGTGTTACAACTTGGCTTCACAAAATACCCAATCATGCAGCCAACTTTAATTTTGGAACAAGGACATTTTCACAGCAAGACAGACGGGGAAATCTACGCTCGCGTTTCGTTAGCAAATGAATTGTCGATTCAATGGTCCCCATCGTCTATGAATAAGCTACGGATTGATATGCAGTATAAAATACCATGTTCTCCCCAGAATACTTAGTCACATTAGGCAGCAACCGGCATTTGGTTACCTATGTAACAATTCGTTTATGTGTACTTTGAATAGAACAATGTAATGGTGGTTTCTGACGGGTAAAACGCATGGGCCTAACAGGCCCTGTTAGTCGGTCACGAAAGTAATTGCGAAATTGAAGACTACACAAGTAGGTAAAGTGAACTGCGGATCTGTGGGGCAACGGGCATGCGAATAGTGGCAACAGAACCGTGGGAAATAGGTTGCACCATGCAAAACCCGATAATAAATCGTGCTGGTTTCCGTCCAAAATTGGGTTTGGCAGCGCTCGCTGCAAGTCTTGGATTGCGACGCGCAATTTCATTTGTAGCCTGAGTTAAGTTTGAAGTCAGTCTCTGCCATTCGATCATTGCAATCGTCACTGAAGTGGACGGTTTCGGTGTTGTTGTTTTCCATCCCTGTAGTGATGGGAGGGAGAAACATGGAATACCTCTACGTCGGATATGGTTTATGTTCATTTTAGAGGACAGTCGGATTGCTCACCTGCTTGCACTGATTTACGTGTGTCAATGTGGATTTTAATTCCAAAACGCTAGTAAACCAGAACAAATGCTAGGATAACCGTTGGCAAATATGACGTCATAGGACTAACATCTCCAGCTTCCTATTATATGCTCAAGTAATTTGCAAACAAATAACAGCTTAACACGCACCTGATGTTATGTCCAGTACGATACCAACCGCGCTTGGTATCCGCTGCCTCTTTCTCGGAGTAGAACAATATTTGCATACCTGCAACGGAAGGGATGAGAAAACCAGGGAACAAGACAGTACAAAAACCAGCGTAGTGTCAATAAAAAGATGCCTTTCTATCTCAGTGAAATTCAATGTGTTTAACCTGAGCCTGACGCTTTCCGATTGGTTCCGATGCCAATCTTAGCCAAGTAGGATAAAATGGGTGACAAGATTTTAAAGGAAGGTCACTCAAGGTGGAAAGTATGTGACCAGAATTCGATTTCAGATGGAAAAACTTGGTAGCTTGCTTTTGCATAGCGATTAGCCATGTACATTCGGGGTGTGAATCAACTGGCGCGATTTACGCCTTCACCTGTTGAAGGAGGGACTCACGGTTATTCCGGGTAAACACGAAATTTTCAACCGTTGTTTTGGCCGAGGCTGATCAAACATAATCGCCGACGAAGGCGAACCCTTAGCCCGATTCAGCACTGCACTGCGGTGCCTAACGCACACGACCAAACGGACTACGTATCCAGCTTGTTTAGAATTGTACGATAGTAGTACGAAAGAATGACGGTTTATTACAGGTACAAAAATCTAAAGATTTTGAGTCCTGCAGTCTGGGTGCTTACGAATAGCAAGTTTAGTAACTAAAATTTTCAGCAAGATAAACCGTGCATTTGTAAACTCACCACCTTAAGCACTAAACGCAATGATTAATCCGCTTGATTCTATTTCATGGGGAGGCTGGTGGGCAGAACGCATACACTATCCCGGCTCCCGACGAAGGCGATTTAGATGATCCAATGCAATTGGCCCAATGTATCAGAAAGTGACTCTTGGACTACTACTAACACGAGCACGGCAACAAGATAATTTGGAAAAAATTCCACAGCTGTAGACCCGGGGCATTAAAAATTTCTGGCGAAATTTCAGCTATCAATGCTGTTCGGTCAACTTCAGTTGATAGTTCGACAACTCCGTGTTGAGGGTAAACCTCAGGGTTGTGGTAGTTAGTGAGGCGGCGGTTCTTCGGGATCTGGTTCATCAATATGAGATCATACCATGGACGGTCATGTCTTTGGTCGTACACTGTTAAAGTATCTAGTCGAAGTTAGTGTGTATGATGTAACAAGCCGCTAACAATCAACTTTCTTACTCTACTTGTCCTCGAATGGAGCGAGGTGATCTTCCTGACAGACCTGTCGAACCTAGAGCAGATTCCGTACATAAGCGCTAGGTATTTGCAGAAATATGGAAAGACCAGCCAGAACGATTGTACGCTGCAACTATGGGCGCTTTGGTCCCCGGTTTTCGACAACTTCATAATGTGCCTCGAACAGCTAAATTAATTCCGACGCACAATCATAACAATACAACCCTAGCATACCTCTACAACTTGTGGTCTCCGAGCCATTCAGCAGATACTGTGAATGAATCACTTTGCATCCACACGCATTAAGCAGAAGTAAGGGAATAATGGATTAATAACGAATAAAAAGGCAAACGTTTAGCAATTTCCGTCGATAAAATGTGGACAAAAAAGGAATGTTTTAGGAGAAATTAAAACAACTTTTGGTAGTGGAATTACCTCAAATTTCTCGTGTACATCAAGTTTGATTACGTGGTTCCGTTTTCCAGTAAGTTTAGTTAAGTCATCTAATGCAGGTGGCGTAATGCGTCCTCAAATCTAGTACTGAATTCAACAAACGTAGCAATAGATATGAAAGAATGCGGATGTAAATTGTACGGCTGGAATATATGAATGGAATAAAACGTTCCGGTGGCCTTCCAACCGGCTGTATTGTGTGGCCTGTCAGTGAGGTGTTGTGCCTGAGAATCAAGAAGAGTCGACGTCGTTGGTTAAGATGCTTGGTGGTCTGATATACCAATATGAGATCACATCGCAGAAGACGATTTTGTTCGCCAAAAACTGTTATGCTTTTTAGTTTAAGCTGGTCAGGAAGGTGGGGTAATCTGTTACTTATTTCGTCGCCCTCAGTTGTGGATTCTCAGGAGCAGTTAGGTTATGCTTTTGCCAGGGGTGACACACCTGGATAACGTATTCTACATGTGGCCGCAGAACATGCTGTCCCAGTCGATACTCCTAGACGCACTGGTGACGCATGCTGGTCATTCCGCGCTCGACAGGGTTAAACGCAAGCATTATTTTTGCGCCGACCACTCGTAAGCCCTGTCGCAATGCCATGTGGTCGTCTATTCTTTTGATTGCCATCCAAACGTTAAGGAGGTCCACAATGAGTGGAAAGTTCGACATCAAAACTTCCGCAAGATCGTTTCAGAATACGAGGAATAAGGTTGCTCCTATTACTGAGCCTTGAGAGACGCCACAATGAATCACTATTGGGTCGGAGAGGGTGCTACAAATCCTCACATCCAAGCGCTGCTGTAGTAGGAATGAGTGCATCCATCTTAGGATAGGGTCACCGATTCCGTAGCTCCGAAGCATGTGAAGAAGAATCGGGTGATTAAAGCGAAAAATGCTTTCGAGAAAACAAGGTAAGCTGCGTAAACTCCTTCGCCAGCATCGACGGATTCAGTCCAACTAGCGCAAGCTAACAAAAGATCCGTGGTACACTAAAGGTTTTGGCGGAATCCATGCTGCTCTAGCACGACGACATGATATCACTAGAAATATCCCGTAGGTGCATCTGCAACGACAGATCCCATGACTTTAGCAAGCACAGGAAGGAGAGTAATCAAGCAACACAATGAACAATGAAGAACAATTTATAACGGACAAAAAGCATTGCTTGGCAATCCACGTTGGATGACTGGAGTGATGATTATAAAAGGATTGTTCAAAGTGACAGGAAAAGGAGCATATTCTCGTTTGAGGTGGCTCACCGAGCTATTCACATCAGCGTATGCTGGTCTGCTCACGGCTAACGGAGATGGCTGGTGAGCCCACCGTTTGTGGCAAGTCGTCATTCGATGGAAGCAGACGATGTCATGTAATGTAAATGGAGTAGAGTTCAATCTAAACGTTTTTTTAAATACGTTAATGTGGGTCGAAATTAATGTGAGAAGGAAGGGCGTTCCAGGTTCCAGATACCCGAAGGGAGAAAACGTTTTGTCAGCAATCAATTCGACTGTGGTCTGTTGTCAGTTTGAGTTGGTGACCTCTCAGGTTGGTATTGTGGCTGACTTGCAATAGATCGAGACAGGCGTGATTGGGGTTAGTCAGTTTTGGGGCATCATATAAAGGTCTCCTCATGGACACCGATATTCGCGGCTGTACAAACCTAGGGCTTACAGTCTGCGTTGTTAGGAGAAGTGAAATGGTCCTCTAACCATTTTAGTCGCCCTACGCTGTGGTGCTTCAAGTGCAGCAATACCGTGTTAGCATCAAGATCGGCGGGCCTGGATCGCGTACTCCATGTGCAGCATCACGTAGGCCTTCAGCAGTTGTATAAAAATTGATAAATGGAACTTTCCGAGCGCTCTCCACAGATAGCCAACGTGTTGAATGGCTCTTCTCGATGCCTTTGGGGCCTGTTTCGAGCAGCGAAGACCGACTTGCACTATTTCGCCGTTCCCTTTCCTGCGTAACATATTGCAGCAGTTGCTCTCCCAGTTGATATATGTGTGTACACCGATCGCATATGCGCAGCAATTTTGCATTTCGCCAAGTTAAACTGAAGCTAATGCTCGGAGGTCCATGTGTAGGTCCTGTCGAGATCTATTTATAGTACTGCGTGGTCGTCCATTGTCTGCATGTCATGACAAATCTTGCTTTCGTCTGCGAATAGTTAGGAGCCTGCCTTGAGCACCCTGGTGAGATCAATGATGTATAATAAGAACAAACGCTGTCCTAGTACCGATAGTTAAAGTGCTCCACAACGGACTTGAGTTTGGTTGTGGATATATCTGCAAGCTCTCACCTTTAGCTGAGTTTGAATATGGAAATTACTTATCCAACAGAGCACTCGGTCACTGACTCCGTAGCTCCGAAGTTGGTGAAGGAGAATTCGGTGGTATAGGAGATCGAAAGCTTTAGAGAAGCTCAGATATACGACGTCAACTCCTTGTCTGATATCGGCTGTTTTCATGTAGCTTGCTCAGGCTGGTAACAAGTTCGTGGTACAGTACAGCTTTCATCGAAAGCCATGCTACTGTGACACAATGATGTTGTTACTCTCAAGGTATCCCATGCACACTTCTTCAATTATTCTTTCCATAACTTTGTAGAATACTGGGAAGTGGGTGCTTGGACGGTAGTTAGTAGGTTTCGCACGATTCTCACTCTTGAAAATAGAAGTAACTATGCCCTGTATCCACATGATCGAAACCTGCCTTTTCTCCAGCATTAATTGGAAGAACCGAGCCAACGGTTCGGCAAAGCTCATGGCGACTGTTTTTAATGCCTTCGGTCGGAGATTGTCCACACCAGGGAATCTGTGCACACGCTATTAGTCTTTGCATCCTATCTGCAACTGGGAAGAATACGTGGCTTAATCCTAAGGACGAAGAGCTCTGTGTCATGTGGGGTTGAGGGAACGATCCACTTCGGGAAGTGCGGATAAATTGTTGCCGAAGCGCTTTGGCCACAGCATACGTATTGATCTTCAGATTATCTACTGCAAGTAGGACTAAGATCCAGCGTTGCACCCTACGGAGCTTGTTAACATGTCTGCAGAGCATCATAGGATTAGTAAGGAATTTCGTCGCTAAGTCCTGTTGGTGTTTGCTTTTGTTTTCGCGGACTAATTTGACACAGTGATTCCGCTGAGTTATCTAGACGTCCCATGCCTGCACATCCAGACAGGCATTGTAACCTCGCCAGGCCGAATCCCTTGGGGTCATGTATTTTCATGTCCGGCTCCTCAGGATGGACTTCATTTGATTCAGTTGAAAGCCGTTGCTTTCAGACGCGGTTGCGACTAGTCCGCTGAACACGGTGACAAATTCTTTCCAGACTACCTCCAGATTGTGGGTTGGAATGAGGGTGAAAACTTACTCCTTAAAACGGACTCCTTGTAGCCCAGTGCCAAACCCGTTGCCTTGCGGTAAGGTTTTTGAACCAAAGGCTT